CACATTATCTATTTTTCATCACTGTGGGAAGACATCTGATTTAATTAACTAATCTAGATGATTCAGCTGTTTCCCATCCTCATCCCATCCAAGAAGAAAAAGGTTACTAAACCCACTAGCTTTGTTCATCCATTGCCATTACTTTGTTTGAGCTCTGAAATGTTCTTAGCTTTAAAAATTGTATAACAGCTTATTTTTGGAGCCTGAGGATGGCGAGGAGAAGTTTTGGGCAATTAACTAACTAGAAGCATACAGAAATGTGCATTTCCAATTGATTTTTTTTTTTAACCCATCACTTTTGTTCTCCCGGCTCTAAAAGCAGATACCATTTAGTTTATAACAATATTGATTCAAAGCTTGAAAGGAGAGGATAAAGAATGAATAGAGCAAGGTCTATGAAGCTTCACAAAGTACCACTGTGCCATTAAGAAGGACTAGTTAATTCACATGGCAACATAGTTGAATAGTTTATCATTTGGTGGACCAACGCTTCTTACTTCTTACTCTCTCTTCCATTCAGAAGAAGCAAAGAAGCAAAGGCAAGAGAGAAAAACAACAGTCTACTAGACTATAAACTGTTCTTATAGACAACTACAAAAATTAGACACACACACACACACTTCTCTAGATCGCTGATCATTAAATATAAATCCAGAGACCTTTCTGGTAGCAAATTATAAAAGGTTTTAAAATTAGTGTATGTTGAAGGCTGTTTTCCAGGTTGCCTAGCTCTTCTAAAGTTATAGTTCATATCTCCTGTCTTTCAGTTCAACATTTTATTGAACATCTACAATATGCCACACTCTGTTCTTGGCATTGGAGATGTGGGTAAATTACAAATGATCTCTGATCACAAGGAGCTTTATGAGGTTGGGAAGAAGGTATTGTACACATAATTTTAATAAAAGGTGGTTTGCATGACAGTGAAAGAACATTCAGGGTGCAACTGGAGCACAGAACGGGACCATGAAAGAGGGCAGAGAATGTTTCCTGGAGAAAATGATGCCCCAAATGAGTCCTATAAAAGAAGAGGCATTTAACTAGAGGGTGGGATATTCCAGGCAGAAAGAAGAGCAAGTACCCAAGGCAGAGAGGCATGAAATAGCATGATGGGCACTGCCCAGGGCTGGGGGTGTCTAGGAACTCCAAGTAATTTTGCATTTCTGGAGACTAAATGAGTGAAAGAGGCCAGGACATAAAGAACCCTATGTGTCATCCTAGCCTGTAGGTGGCCAGATACCACTGAAATGTTCAACTAGAGAAACAACCCAGACAGATCTGAATTTTAGATTCATTGCTCTGACCACTTACGATGCAAAATGGCATCTCAGAAGGTGAGAGGAAGTACAGGCCAGAGGCTACTTCTTCCAGCTTGGATTCTCCAGTGTCATTATTAGGAATGTATCTATTCCCGAATGTCCACTATAAAACTATTCTGGGAATGCCATGAGATCACTAGACCCAGGGAACAGTTTGGAAACTCAAGTGCACCACTGGGCGACTCAAGATCTCCCTCCGGCCACCCGCTTGGATCACAGACTGCCTTGAATGATGGCTGGTTGTATAACTAGCTGTCCCTGACAGACTGCAAAGTGTAGGTGGGCAAGCAGATATCTTCCTCTGTCAAAGTTTGCTTTTAACTCAAGGTCTGGAATAGAAAGTACTAGTAAACAGTAGAAAAGAACCTGTCAAACATGTAATTATACTGAATTTGTACTAAAGTATCCTAACAAACAGAAAAACTTGACACCACAGGCTTTTGTTGCCTTCATTCTTCCTAATTTAACATTTAAAAAAGCATTGTACTTGCCAGCTAATGGGACACCTCAGTAAATAAAATGCTGTCGTACAGTTGGGTCTATGCCACATTTCTCACCGCCCCTACAGGTTTTCTTGAGCTGCCTTTGGGGAACCCAGGGGCTACAGCCACAGTAGTCGTAGGAGTTCATGTCAGATTTTAGCTCATTTCCCAATCCTCTGCAACTGCTCTTCATCCACACCCTGCTTGAAAACCTGACAGCAAAGTGCTAATGTATGAAACTCCAAACGAATGAATCAGTGGCATTTATTCCTATCAACTGAAGGTCTCCATTCTTATCTCACACTTAGCCCCACATCTCTGCCTTTCCCGGGCTTCCTTGCCCTTTTTTACCATCCAAAAAAGCTAAGCTGAGCATTTGTTCCCAATACCCCTTTTCTAAAACGTTCTTTTCCTTTCTGTCATCAAAACCTCCTTTGCCCACAGTCAAGCTAACATTCTCCATTTCCCAGGCCATTTCCATCCATAAAAGACCCTTCCCTTGACTTAATTCCTGTAATCGTTATTATTCATTTTGTAATACTGTATCTCACATTGTCATCCAAATTAGATTATACATTCTTTAAAAGCCCACACCAAGGTTTATACATTCCTGCGTCCCACCTGTGATGCCTACAGTGATGTACCTGAAGTTTGGACTCAGTAAATCTCCATTCAACAGTAACCACATTGACATCCACATGAATTTCTTCAATCAGTATTTTTATTCATAAAGGTAATAGAAAGGCCCTCAAGAGCCTTTGGAAGTAGACAGAGACTGAGGGTATTTTCCAGATTTACTTAAAAGGAAAAATCAAGCCTAAAGATTACAGTAAGAAACTTTCCCAAAGTTAAAGAAATGACTGAAACAACAGTAAGACCAAGAGTGCCCCCGCTTTACAAAAAGAAGTGTTTAATCACTAAACACCATTTCCTGTGATAAATTTATCCTTACCCTCAACTCAATATTTTCCTTCACTAAACAGAGGGTGTTATGCATCAGCACTAAAGGGGGGCGCTATGCTTCAGATAACCCAACACGTCTGATAATGCTGAAATCATTCACATTGGATATGGAAATGAATAATATGATTCCGGGACCACTACTTACTCCTTCACCAATGTAAAAGAGCATTCACACATTGCTGAATTAAGACGCTATAACAGCATTCTAACAGGAAAAAGCTTACCCAGGATAGAATTTGACAGGGCAAATGATCCACCTACATAAAATCAAGAGGTGGATGATACATTGTGTCTTTGAAAAGTGGTACGGAATACTAAATGGATTACATCACAGAGACCCCAGCAGGAATGATTACAATCAAAGGTGTTACACACAAACAAATAAAACAGGGCCCAGAGCAAAGAATAATATTAGAATGATAGACTCCTTCAGCCAAATGAAATGACTGAGGCTGAAAATGTTCTCATATAAAACATCTGACTATGAGCTCCTACCAGTTTAAAAATTGAGCTCAGATAATGAAATAAATTAAAACACATACACATACTAATATATTATGTACATTATAAACACAAAATAGAAATTTTTAAAAGATAAAGATAGAAATAGAGCTTCTAAAATATTCTTCCCATACCCAATGGACTATGGGGCGATAATATCCCGTGGGGTTCACTGCCCCACTCTGGAGCCAGTGCTTTAAAATGCTTATAAAAGTGCAAAGCCAAAGATAATTACTCTAATTATCTGGAAAACTCCTGAATTACTTTCTTCCCTTTGCTAAAGCACATGTGTTCTTAATATCCAGAGCAAACCCATTAAGATTCTAACAGTAAAAATCAGAGAATGGAAAATGCATAAAAAAATCTCGGAAGCTTTACACTGGATAGTGACAAGAAGTTACAAAGCGTAAATGGCCCAGAAGCAGAACTGGTTTTGGTTTTGATCTAAATTGTGTTCCCTGGAATTGCTGTGATTTACAGGCTCAGTGCTTTAACACAGGTGCTGTTTCCGGCCACAGGAAGGAACTGGGTAGTCATTAAAAAACTGTCACATAAATAGCCACTTTCCAGCTCACCTGAGGAGTGCAATGTTGGACAATAGTAAAGAATGCCAATTTTATTTATTTTACTACTTGCAAACTCCCTGAGGAAAGGTGTTAGCCGGTAAATTTTGTGAACATTCAACCCTCAATTATACATACAAGCAAATCAGAGAAGAGTCACAGAGAAGTCAGATGAATAATCAAAAAACTTTTATAGTCAGCTTTGTAATGAATTCAGATATCACCAGGCATCTTCTTTCCTTAAATTACACAGGGACCATCAGCCCGAAACATGGTGGAGCACAGAGGCCAAGCACACAGGTCTTGAGGTCAAGAGACCAAGGTCTAAGTACTCCCTTGGAAACTCACTAGTTGCATAACCTCAACCAAATTATTTAACCTCCATAATTTTCCATTCCCTCATCTGTAAAATGAGAAAGCTAACACTAATGGCCTTACGGGACTGTGGAGAAGATTAAATGATATAAGGCTTTTGAAGTATTCAACACAGCACTTGGTAAATATTTAATAAATGTGTATTTTAGCATTGGTAGAGTGTAAGAACTGGATGGAAGACAGCAGGGAGGAGAGAAAGAGAGAGGATGTAATCACGGTCAAGTATATTGCAAAGCGATGTAAAAGTCAATTTAACGTCATGGGGGGGAGCCCTGTGGCCGAGTGGTTAAGTTCATGTGCTCCGCTTCAGCGGCCCAGGGTTTCACCAGTTCAGATCCTGGGCACAGATATGGCACCGCTCAACAGGCCATGCTGAGGCAGTGTCTCACACAGCATAACCAGAGGCACTCGCAACTAGAATATACAACTATGTGCTGGGGGGGTTTGGGAGGAAGAAGAAGAGAAAAGAAAAATGAAAAGAAGATTGGCAACAGATGTTAGCTCAGGTACCAATCTGCAAAAAAAAAAAAAAAATTTAAGGTCAACTGCTATTCTTCTAAAAACATCTGAGGAACATACATGTTTCCTAGTTGCTTTTGTGAAAACCGTGGTTTTTAACCACATACATATTCTAGGAAAACAAGAAGAGAAAATTGCTTTTCTTCCTACCTGAAAAGAATTTCTTCACTATGTTTCTGGAAGCCTAGTTACCTGTCACACAAGTAGGAAACTCTGGTTCAGTGTGATGGACTCTGGGGCTACGCAGACCAGCAGAGAAGGTGGAACTCATACATTACCTGCGCCCAGTGGTTTTCAAATACAATCATGCATGTTTCTGGGTCAACTCCCTGCAGGCTCACAGCCTGCTGGAGTTTGCTTTCTGTCGCAACTGATGACATCATAAACCTTCATAAATCAATGCTTCTAAGTCATATTTAATCTTCACAAAAATTTGGCAAGCAGTCACTAACTTTCAAGTATCACATTTCTTCACATTTCACCTTCCAAAACCTGTAATGACAATAACAAAAAAAATGCATCTGTTATGTTCATATGTTAAACAGGGCACTATTAAATTTAAATCAAAGTATAGACATTTTCGAAATCCAACACAGAACAAATTATCTACAGGATAGACATTTCTACTCAATCCAAAGGTTTCTCTATTTTTCCCTCACCTTACTAAAAATATACTAAAACATACTAAATATACTAAGTTACTAAAAATATAAAATAATGATGCTACCAAAGGTACCCACATAACTTAAACAATTATTGGGTTTATTCTCTCCACTACCACCAACCACAACCCCCTAGGTTATAATTCTAAATCGTTCAAATCTAGTTTCTATAATCAAGCAAGAACCTATAATGCCAATGTCTGTGGAGTTTAAAAACATCCAGAAACAGGAAAAACATTAGTTAATAGTGACAGAAATAAATGGCTTGATGCAACTTGGGGTGGTTATAAAACAGCACCCAGACTCCTGGGTCCAATATTATTGAATTTTTTTTTTAATCAATGACTGTCATAATGAAATTGAAAGTATTCTCAGTCATTTTGTGGCTACAGACTAAGTTAAGGTTTCTAGCTTTTCTGAAAAATAACAGAATTCCAAGTAAACTTGACAAATCAGAGATAGAAAAGATCCATTAAAAACAAGATAGTGCTTACTAGGTGGGAGTACAAAGTACCACACTTACAAATGAAAAATGAATTATGTGGATAAAATATGAAGAAAGCCTGACTACAACGTAGCCCGCAGGGAGAAAAAAAGATATTGAGGTCATAGAGTGTACAGTGAACACGATCCAGCTGTATGGTGCCAACTCACTGACAGAAGCAATAAGATAGTGGTATTATCTCACCAGTTTGATCAGCCCATAAAAGGACTGGGTACAATTCAAATATTATTTTTTTAGTGTACAGATTGGAGAGTGTTCAGAGAAAAGTAATTACATTATAATTACTAGAGCACTGGAAACCAAAACCCATGATAAAATTTCCAGATTTTTAATGCCAAAAGACAAAAAACAAAAATGGTTATTTTCAACTGAGTAATATGAAAGGCATTACAAGGAGAACACTGATCAACTGTTCCTCCTACAAACAATAAAATGTGGCAAACGGGGCTTAAGGTGATGATTCAGGTTAGACTTATGGGTCAAGCTCTTTGTGGGGAGTAGAATTAAACACTGGAAAATAGTTAAGGAATATTCAAAACAAGTGCCTCTATTGGGAGATGGGAGGCTAATCATTCAACATTGAAGGATCTTTAAAACATATAATTCCTAATAATACAAATTTGTTGTTTTCAATAAGACATCATCCACTGCCAACCATGGCCCTTTGCCACTGACAGGCATGTTTTGTTGGACCTATCTGGTGTTTTAAAAATCAGAAGTGGCCGCCCCACGCATGCAGGGTATGAGTTTCCAGTCCCCACAACTCCGTAGGATCCTACAGCCAGCCTCTTCATCTCATTTTGGCCGCTGGGCTAGCCCTTATGGATAACATCTCAATGTGCAGCCCTATTTTAAGCGATGAGAGATAAAACAAGTTCTGACTCAACTTCCTCGTTGTCCTAAACAGAATACTTCTGTGAAAATGCAAAGGTCTTTTACTAAGATGATGTAATGATGATAATGAGGAAAATCAATGTTTTTGTTTATCCCAGAGGTTGAAAAAGTAGAAGATTCCTTGCCTTCCAGCTCCAGGATTCTCAGATTCTTCTTCAAAGGTACAAGGGGAGCATACATCATGCCAATTGCATCTAAATCAAAATCTAGAAACATGCTCTCTAAGATCCTCTAAGTTGGTTCTCAAAGGGATTTTACACGCAATCTTCAGATAGTGAGACTGCATTACAAACAGGATAAATATTTTAGCTAAGGTCATAAACTCACAAGTTAGTTTTGATGGAAATAGACTGTGAGTCTCTTGATTCCCAGTCCAGTGTTTTTTTCTAAAAAACTACATTCTCCTTTCTCCTGTCTATAATCCCTGGCTCTATTCCCTTAAGGAATCTGTATTTTCTCTGAGAAAAGTGCTTCTCACTTGGTTGATGCTTATCTGATCATACCTTTGAGGCAGATGCCTGAAGAATCTAAATATGTCATGAATACAGAAACCACAACATGAAGAAAACTTGGGAGAAGGGCCAGCCCCGGTGGGCTAGTGGTTAAGTTCAGCACGCTCCATTTCAGCAGCCTGGGTTCAGTTCCCAGGCACAGACCTACACCACTCTGTTGGTGGTCATGCTGTGCTGGCAGCCCACATACTAAAAAATAGAGGAAGATTGGCCCGGACGTTAGCTCAGGGCAAATCTTCCTCAGGAAAAAAAAAAAAATCTGTAAAGAAAACTTGGGAGAGAAACCAGGAATGTCAGGCAAGTCAAGCAAGCCACGTTTGAGAAGGGAGAAACTATGACAGAAACGAAAATACTACCTAACACACCCAGAGACCCAAGAGTTGGGTATTTCCACTCTCTCTCTCTCTTATTCCTACGTTAGAGCATTAAAGCACTGGAAGGCCCCCAGGGTAATATAAAACTGAAAGAGATGGCTCCATATTTAGGAGAGATGTGTAAGGACATATTTCCTCAAGCACCAAGGTTTTCAATATATTTCTCCATTTGCCTGTTATCAGGATTTACTTTTTTCCTTTTTTGCATTTTTCCACTTCAAGCTTTTAATTTAACTCTTAGATCACAGCTAAAAGTCCCACGTGAAGAATAGAGAAGGACAAAATCAAGCAAAAAGCCATGAGTAGGTTACGAGGCTGCAGTCACTAGAATGTGTGCTTGCGTCATGAGCACGGCATCATTGGACATTCCCCCTTCCTTGCCCTCTGCTCTCTTCAGCCTAAGGTGTCTGAAGCTGGGAACGTTTAAAACTTGCCACTCCTGGCACCCAGTCAGCCTGTTCTTCCCATAAATAAACACAAGCACATCGACTCAAACTTCATGCCTGAGAGAGAGCTCTATAAAGCATTCAGACTCTAATGAGTGATTTTCTCTTTCTTCAAACAATCAACACCCAAAAATACCCAAAAGACTCTATTTCCAACAGTGATTGCATGTGGTTTTGTGGTGTGGTTGTTGAGTTTTTTGGCAGGAGTGTAGAGATGCGCTATCACAATAGATGTATAACAGCCTGAAATATCAGCACAGATTCTATACTGCAAAGACAGAACTGACTTTTTTACGTCCAAAGCCATTACTGAGTAATCACATTTTATATCATACTAATATTATATATAAAAATATTTTCCATCAATAAGGAAAGAAAAACTCTATTATATTATTGTTAGAGAAAAATAACTGATATAAGAATTATATTTTTATTTGCCCTTTTTTGAAAGTATGTGATATCTTTTATTTGACGATGAAAAAAGCTCAAGCATATGCTTCCATATCACAGAATTATAAAATATACCACACAATTATAAAAGCTTAGATTCTAGTCATACAGACCACACCTCTTTCCAATATAAAAATTCCTTCACCCTCACAAAAAAAACACATGGATAAGGAGAACAGATTGGAGGTTACCAGAGGGGAAGTGGGTAAGGGAAGGGCGAAAGGGGTAAAGGGACGCATACGTGTCATGACAGATAAAAACTAGACTATCAGTGGCAAACATGATGCAGTCTATACAGAAACTCATATATAATAATGTTCACCTGAAATTTACACAATGTTA